TTAAATAATAAGGCTATTATAAGCCCTATATAAGCTATAAAGGTTAGCCTTATTATAGTAATAGTCTCTTAGTAAAACCTTTAAGATGCTAGGTCTAATACCTTATTTAGAAGACTCTTATATCTTTAATAGCCTAATATTAATAGTCTTTTTTTACGTTAATAATATCGTCTTTTTATACTATTAAGTAGCTTTTAAAGCCGCTAATTAGATAATTTAAAAGCTTAAATTAACCTATAATATAAAGGACCTTAGTGAGCTATAATAGTTTCTAGGTATTTAAGTCCTTTAAGATAAGGCTACTTATAAGCTTTAGCTATATTAGGATTTTTATATTACAAATTAGCTATAAAGTTTAATATTCCTAAAAGAGATAGCTTTAAAGAAAGTTTAATACCTAAAAATCAATTAAAACCTAATCTTAGTATTATAATTACTAATTAAATTCATTAATATTAGCAGATAATTAGCTCTATTAATTATATCGCGGTTATTAAAAGACCTAATATAGCTAAACTAATAATTAAGCTAGCTAAATTCCTCTTTAATTCGTTAAAAACCTACTAATAAGTTACTAATTAAGTTATTAAGTACTTATATTTAACGCGATACCTAGTAATTAAATTCAATGAAAATCCTAATAACTTAAAGCTTTAAATAGCTTTTAATACCGCCTTTATAAACGACTAATAAACCTAAAAGTTATTATAAGGCTTAATAATTCAACTATTTAATAGACCTATTAGTTAAATAGCTAGCAAGTAAAATACAGTTATAACATTATTTATTAAAGCGGAATTATTAGCTTTTACATATATAGCTAAAGAGACTATTATAATATTTAAGCTTTTCTAATAGCTAGACCTTTAGCTAGATTATTTAAAGCCTATAATATAATATAATAACTTATAAACGATTTAGCTTATTAATAGTAATCTTTTAAGGCTTAAGATTACCCTTTATTATATTAATATTTATAATAGCTAGATTTAATAAGCCTATTAATAAGAGACCTTTAATATTAAATTCATTTAAAGCGCTAATAATTTAGCTAATAAATTAATAAAGATCTTAATAGGTTAATAATTTAATCGCTTTATTTAGTAATTAAAGCTTATTAATATTATTAGTATTATTAAAAGAGCTTAAATTAAGTAATTTAACTTACCCTAATAGCTATTAATAGCTTTAATAGTTAGCTATTAACTTAATTTATAGGGGTATATTAACGCTAAAGGCCCCTTTTAATAAAAAAAGGCTGTTATTTATTAGGGACCCTAATAAGCTCTAAAACGCCTTAAATAGCTGCTTTTTAATTATATAAAAAGCCTTAAAAGAAGGCTCACGCTACTACCCTATAAAAGCTAAACCTTTAATAGCTAAATACCGTAAAACCCCTTAAATTAATTACTTTTTAGGTAACCTATTAAACGACCTTAATATCTATAAATAAGAGCCTATTTTTCGTACTTAGATAGCTTTAATCCCAAGGATAATTCCACTATTTAATCTGCTTTCATAGCTGTCAACGTGATATTTCTTCTCTCCATGTCTGACGTATATAGACGCTTTAAGGCCAAGAAAGCGATTTGTGGGAGGTATTTCATAGTTAAATGGGTGAAGAGGCTAAATCCTTGTTGAGAATTGACTCTTGCTATGAAAACAACTTGGCACCATATCTTCACGATTTTTGTAGCTAGGGGTCGCATTGAACAGTGGACTTGGCCCTTGATTGAATCTATTATCTGAGAGTTCAAGGGAATTAAGGCCTTTTTTATAGATGAAAAATCCAAGGCCGCCTTTTAGTTGAAAAGGCACCAACTGAAGGTTTTCAGCTAGCTAGTCTAGTCGACTTTCCCAGATGACGAGGCCTTACGTTGCCTTGTTAGATTACGCAGTCTATGAACTAGATGACTTATACATTGACACATATTATACTCAAGTTTCAGACTGCCCTGAAATTAACCAGCGGCTGACATCGTCACTATTCGCCATGCGGGACCAGCCTTCTTTCACGTTCGTCTGTGAGACACTTTCCAGAAGCAATCTTTGAAAATTCGTCCCATTAGATCTATTCACAAGGCAAAATACCAACTTGTCCATTTCGCCAGAGACCTCAAGATGAACAACACCCACGCCCTCAGCCCACCATATGCCACTCAGGCAGTCAATGAATAAATACTTTTATTGACTTTCTTCTCAGCCACAAACTCCGCCCCTTATGCGTCCGTCACTCATCGCCACCAAAACTAATACAGGTTATCGCCCGGGCCGCAGTTGTGCGTCTTCTCAACCACGTCCACGGTATCAGCCCAGTCGTCAAACGCTCTCCTGACACCCCGTCTGCTTCTTGGGTTAATCGTGGTCTTGTTCCTGGGCGGAACCCCCTCCAGGCTCAGCGCGAACTGGGCTGCAACTCTGGCAGCGGCTTTGGTGTTAACAGTCAGGGCCTCCCAATTGATGTTGTTGACGGTGTCGCAAGCCTGGTGGTAGCACGGGTCAGTTGTGGGCGAGGCACCGGTGAAAATTCCAGACGATGGAATTCCCAGGTTGAGAAAGGCGACATAGTCAGACGAAGAACCGAATTTGCTTTTTTCCCCCAAGTGTTAGCTTCTTTGCTTTTGCGGCCATTCGTGAATGTTGTCACATACCCATACTTGGCTGGCTTGCCGTGAGCCTGCAGATAGTCAAACAACGGTGCTCCGCCAAATTTGTGTCTTTCGTCATTTGCGTAAACGACGAACTCGGGATGGGGAGACCCAATCATGTCGTAGTTGAAGTAGAATTTGACCCGGTCAGCTTCCGCCTCGGTGAGGTTCGAACCGTAGTATAACGATCCGATCAAGCCGCTCTCCTCTGCTCCCCACCACGCGACCCGAACCGTGTTTTTGATGCCATGATATCGAATCAACTGCTCTATAATCTCCAGCAAGGCGGCGGTTCCGCTGCCGTCGTCGTTTACCCCGGGCCCCGGGAGAACGCTGTCCAAGTGCGCGCCAAGCATGACGATGTTGTTCTTGTCGCCGGCTTTCGTCTCCGAAATGATGTTCCACGTCTCGCGGACTTCGGAGACGGCATCCACTACCAGGGGGACGCTGAGCCTCTCGCCTGTTGTTGACGGTGTCGCAAGCCTGGTGGTAGCACGGGTCAGTTGTGGGCGAGGCACCGGTGAAAATTCCAGACGATGGAATTCCCAGGTTGAGAAAGGCGACATAGTCAGACGAAGAACCGAATTTGCTTTTTTCCCCCAAGTGTTAGCTTCTTTGCTTTTGCGGCCATTCGTGAATGTTGTCACATACCCATACTTGGCTGGCTTGCCGTGAGCCTGCAGATAGTCAAACAACGGTGCTCCGCCAAATTTGTGTCTTTCGTCATTTGCGTAAACGACGAACTCGGGATGGGGAGACCCAATCATGTCGTAGTTGAAGTAGAATTTGACCCGGTCAGCTTCCGCCTCGGTGAGGTTCGAACCGTAGTATAACGATCCGATCAAGCCGCTCTCCTCTGCTCCCCACCACGCGACCCGAACCGTGTTTTTGATGCCATGATATCGAATCAACTGCTCTATAATCTCCAGCAAGGCGGCGGTTCCGCTGCCGTCGTCGTTTACCCCGGGCCCCGGGAGAACGCTGTCCAAGTGCGCGCCAAGCATGACGATGTTGTTCTTGTCGCCGGCTTTCGTCTCCGAAATGATGTTCCACGTCTCGCGGACTTCGGAGACGGCATCCACTACCAGGGTGACGCTGAGCTTCTCGCCCGCTGCCACACGTCCAGCCCAGGCTTCACCGTCCTCTAGGGAAACGAGCCCAGAAGGAATCAGCTTGCCGACGTTTTTCGCCTGCAGCGTGGCGGTGCTGTAGTTCTTGCCGGGCGTTTGGTTGTAGAAGATGACGGCCTTGGCTCCGGCTGCCTTTGCCAGGAGCGTCATGTCGGCAAACGTACAGCCTCCTCGCTTCAGCAGAGCAACTTTTCCCTTGGCATCAATGTTCTGCCACTGATCCTCAAAACACCCGCTGCCGCGGTCCGCCTCGTAGGGCACGTGGACGAGCTCGCCAGTGATGCCACCGGGAAGAGGAGTGGCGGGGTTGTACTGGAGAGAAACGACGTACACTTGGGTCCCGTCGGGGCCCTTGACTTGGATCCTCTTCACTTGGTGAAAGAGATGCTCAAAGGGCTGGACGTATGTGTCGAGGTGTTTGCCAAAGCGCTTGACCACGCGTTCGAGGACAAAGTCCACCGACGCCTTGTAGCCGCTTGTGCCAAACGCTCTGTTTCCACCATTGTCGTTGCCGATTTTGTTCAAGTTCCACAGGACATTTTCCAACCTGTACGAGTTAGGAGGACGGGGATACCGCGAATCGTGGGGAAGAGTCGACTAACCGGTCCTTTTGAATCCCGGCTTCCACCTTGTCCGGGGTGAGAAGCTCGGTCGCGGCAGTCGCACTCAACAGGCCGGCGTAGAGCCAGGCGTTGAACGGCTTCATGTCGCAAGAAAGAGGTGCAGCAAACTGAATATGTGGGCAAACCTTGTCACGGGAGCGGCCACGACAGGTGAAGCTTGGGGGAGGAAGCCCTCAGCAAGCACAGAATCTCGTCCACGTATTAAGTACTTCTTCTTTCCTTTCCTTTTTCCAAACGGCAGTAAATGCAACACGAGTCCAAGTCCAACGTGGTTCGAACTTCGTGGTTGGTTGTCACTGCCAAGGCCCCAGCCCCCTCCGACTTATAAAGCATTGACGCACCAGACGGTTTAAGCTTCAATTGCAACTGCCTATTTCGGCTACTATGCGGGGAACTCATCAGAGCTTCCCCCCTTTCAACGAACGAACAGGGCTGTCTTTATTCTCGCACTGCTCACTTGGCGCCACGGCAGTCCGGTATTACGCAACTTTTTTTTGTGGGAACTTGCCCCTGTTGGGATGGTGATTCATTCCACGATGCGGTGAGGAGAAAAGGAAGGTCGGCCGTGTTGGGTTGGGAAGGTGGCTGACTGTGTTGTTGTCGGGGTCCGAGACAGACATGTTGAATCCGGTACACTGACACGGTGAGCGGAATTGCGCAATGTGGCGCATGTCAAGGCCCAATATATGTGCGCCGGGAAAAGGTGAACCAATTACGTTCTGACGCTTCCTCGGCCCATCACAAAGAAGGAAGCTGTTAAGATCCGAGACTGTTCTGGGCTTCTAGAAGATGGGCTGTTGCGCCATTTTTAACTATATTTTTAAGCTAGAGCTCATGCAACCTCGCGATCATTGGTGGGTAGAGCCAAGATTCAGGGCTTAGCATAGAGATGACGGGCTAGCGGGCTGACCGACTTCTCTATCTGAGACGGCACTTCTGTGCAGACTGCTTCTCCTCACATGGCTGCTGAGCATCCGTTAACGGGTTGTTGAACGCATCACAGACCAACCGTCATTGTGGGACAGATTTTGCTGCACACCACCCCGGTGCTATTGACTTTCCCCCGTGGCCACCTGTATGAGAATGTCTGTCGGTTAGGCAAAAGGCCAAATGCAATGGGCACTCCCCAGCGTCGAATGTGACTTTGGCAGGAGTCATCTTATAACCATATCTCTGTGCAAATCTGCCCAGATTATAGTCTCCACCCAAATTACTATAATGGTTGTGTGTTATCCCAGTATTCTCCATATAGATAACTAGTTATTCATCTTAGATAGAATGTTACTATATAACCTGTATTTTTCCGTACTGGAGACCTACCTAGCATAAGATACATTATATTATCCCTTTCAATATAAGACTTCTCTGCGGCCACGACTTTCCATTCATAGTGATACCGCGTTGCTACTGTGCGTCTTGGAGTGGTTTTGCAACATAATCCCCAAGGCTAGTGCAACGAGCCACAACAGTTGGAGCTTGGTAACAATTCAAGGGGGGGAATTTGAATTGCGAGTTGTCATCTACGAAACTTTAGCCAGTTTCAGTTGGAAGGGACTAACACAGAGCCAGTAACGCTATCCATCGCATCGCCGTTTGACCCTTAGCTGCATTTTATCAGGAGTCCAGTGCTGTACGGGGTGAAGCCATCTTGTCGACTGGCCTCTACGAGCCTCAGAGGATTAGCAATATGATACTACTCTGGCTATCTCTTTTTTTGCTGAATAGTTGCTGTAATGAGGTCATTTGAAGAGCACACAAACCACTGCATGACGCAGCGCCTCTATACCCTTGTCCATATAACCTCAAGCTAGCTACACACTTTGTTATTCTTATGTAGTAGGTACTACTTACCGTGTTCCTGTGGATTCTTGTCATCCAGGCTTTTCTTTCGAATCCTTGTACAATATGGCATGGAAAGTCTATAGCATTGCTAGTTATCCTAAGAGTGATTTGGAGTTTTGGCTGCATCTCCAAGTTCCATTCATTAATGGCCTCGCGAGCACCCAACGACACTAGCGTCCGTGCAGTAAGTGAGAGCGTATGAGTATCTATTCTGTATCGACTAAAGCACACTCTACTTATGTACCTAATAAAAAGCTTGGGGTCTGGCTCACATCGAGGTTCAACTTGCCTGTTGCATGCGGGACTCCTTAATATTCGAGGATTATACAAGAACCATTATACCGGGAGAAACAATAACGCTCCTTGCGAGGTAAGCAGCCGTTACACACACTCTCTTTCAATATACATGTGTAAGTCCTATTAGCACCATTAGTAACGATCGGAATGCTCCTTTCACGACATCTTTAATATACGGCAAGTTATGTCGGTCCTCTAATTAAGAGAACTTTTTACTACCAATCACGTGGTCAACAAGTATTTTTAACTAGCTATTTAGCTAGTCATACTATTGTATATATTTCTTCTCTTTGCGATTTTGTATTGTAGCGAATGTGACTCTCGGCTAGTGCGCCAGCGTAACCTGGCACCATAGCATGAGGTTCATTTCCGGAACACAAAGGTTACTTTTACTGCCCTCTACTCCCTCTTGCATTATAGACCGGACTATTGGCATCTTCTCCCCATATTCCTGTAAAGATAAAGGCTCTACGCTTCGCCGACTCCTACTCGACGTAGTGTGGCACAGCATATAGAGGGGTATAGCACATAAAATCCCTAGGCGTGACCACGTCATTTTCTGGACATTGTATGTGTAACACTACCCCGGAGATTATCGGATTTAATGTTGAGCAATGGGGCAAAAGGATCCAGCAATATTGGCCCTTAGCTAAATATCCCCGATATCCAGCTCATTAGTGTGCCCACTTGACTTTATCTTCTGTCTCTGGCCCTACCAAACACCTAAATATTTTTCTTTTGTTATTGCCAACGTCAGGTGAAGCTCCCTGTAAACGAAACACCGCCCTTCAGTTTGCTTTGTAGAGTATTCCTCCACTTTTCATGCACACTTTGCGACAACGGCTCGTTATGAGGGCTTGGAGCAAAGGGGGCTCAATTCAATAATAATCTCGTAGAACATCAAAGGTCCTAAGTTGCCTCAAGGAGGGAAGAAAAAAGTGACCTCTACATAAACATGAAAGGAACGCCCGGGCCCAGAGCTCTTGCCCCGGCACGCGTTCCAGCTGTGTAACCAATAAGTCCTTTATCGGTAAAGCCCCTTTGTTGGGCTTCACGATCTGTTGGGCCTTTTCCGTGTAACAGACTTTCCTTGCCTCAAGTTTGTGAGTATTAATCACGACCCCAAATTCTCTCCTTTCTCGGTCACCATCACTTACATCTTTGCAACGACCAGAAACTACCTTCTGAAAATGGATACAGACACCTTTAAGCGCCAGTACGCGGACATCCTGCGGCGCTATCTTCGCGGGATTTCATACCAGACATTGTCTTGCGTGTACGACCCGTCTATAGAAAAAGCTGTTGTACGGCACTTCCGCACCCTCAACTTTTCAACTGATTTCGTCGAGCGTATAATGCCGATTATCCACGCGAGCGCCTGGATAGCGACAAGCACATATTCCTTTACACCGCCCAATGTCCAAGAGGCGATTGCGATATATACTTCGCTAGCAATTGCTATAGAAGACACTAGCAAAGAATATACAGACGACCTCAAAAGCTTTCAGCTACGATTGTTCAACAGGCAGCCGCAGCCTAACCAGCTCTTGCAGGCCATGGTGGATTTCATAGATGTCTTGCGTGGCATTTACGGACCCTTTGCTTGTGACATGATAGCAAAGTCAACTGCGGAATTCATAAGCATATGCGCTTTTGAGAGAAAATACGGCGGAACACTACGTCCTTCGTCGAGTTCGCCAGACTTTCCTTACTATCTGCGGCTAAAGACAGGAGTAGCAGAAGTGTATGCCTTCTTCGCCTTTCCTGAAGTCCTGTATCTAGAGGACGCATTTTTGCATGTCTACATTGTAGCGATTCCGGATATAGCTCGGTATTAAAATCTTGGCAACGACCTTTTATCGTTTTATAAAGAATCGATAGTCTCGGATGAGCGTCTGAATTACATATACAATCACTCGCGCGCTAGCAACAGTACACCACTGCAGTCGATATGGTCAACACATTTAGCCCTGATTACCTGCGTCCAAAATATTCGAAAAACACTTTCTACTAGCCCGCAGACGTGGAGAAATATTGACCAGCTTATTAATGGCTACGTGATGTACCACTTTGGTGCGTCGAGATACAAGCTCTCGGATCTAGGCATTGGAGAGGTTGATGAAGTAAGGGCAAAGGTTTGCTGCCCTACTACAGTGGACAATGAAATTGGTACCCATGAGCATTAGAATCGTCTTGCAAATAGCGTTTCAGGGTTACGGAGACGTATGAATCCTGTATGGTGAAGTCGCTCGTTCACATGTGCCATTTCCCTATGAGGCAATAGCAATGATAGTAGTATTCTACATTGGTCTTCATATGCTTTTCACTCTTTTTATTTCAGAAATTAAAAGTCTCTCGCTACGTCGTTCATATGGGGTTCGTCTCGCTTGAATGTTGAAGACAAAAGCTATGCCTCACTAGCGACCGGACATGCCTGACACGTCCATATGGGTGGTGTGTACGTCCCCTGATTGACCCTGTTCCATTGCGACCATCAACTTCCTCATTGCCGTCCCGTCTGAGCCGCCCGGAGCTCGACCATACACTGCCTCGGCAAGCATGCGGAGCTGCATGGGGAATTGGGGGTCGCCGTACTTTTCAGTTATGTCGCTCTTTTCCACCGCGCATGCCAGGTATGCCCGGGCGTTCCCCTGCTCCGGAGTCATGCCAAATGCCTCGCAGTCCCTCTTCTTGGAAGCATCCCACCACGGTGGTAGCAGACCGGGACGCGACGCGACGCGCCCCAGGAAGCGCTGGAAGCCGCGCAGTCCATCGGATGCGCCGCTGTAGAGGCTGTCGTCGTCGACCTCGCCTTCGAGATTGTACATGTCCGCGACGTGTAAGCGGTAAGCATCGATGAGCAGTCTGTAGACATCCTTCTCCGGTCGGTCATGGAGCCAGGTGCCATTATCGAGGCGAGTAAATGGGCAGGCGACACCTCGTTCCAATCCTTTCGGGGGCGATAGATTGGCCCGTCTGCCACAAGTCTTCTTATGGGACTTCCAGTCTGCCTTTTGACAGTCCTTGGAGCAGTAGGGGGTTGTGGAACATTTTGCACAGCGCTTGAGACTGACCTCGGGAGGCGATTTCTTGCAGCTGGTGCATGCAGTGTCCATGGCGCGTCAACTCTTGTCTGAAAGGGTACTTTTATTGCAGGAGGTTGGTCTCAAAGGTATCAAGATTCAAGATTTGAAAAATCTCCCCGTAGGGGGTGGAGTCACCGCCCATTTAGGACGCGAGGTGACATAAACGAGGCACGTGTTGCAACATGTGAGCAAGAGGCCCGACTTGGCGATCTTGTTCTGGACGGTCCTTTTCTGTTCCAACTTGTGTTCACTACGTCCACCGATCTTGACAGATGGTTCGGCAACAAGATGACGCATCAAACAGTCACAGTTGGCGTGGTAAAATGATGTGCTCAAGTAGTGGATGCTTTCCAGAGACAGGAACTACAGGATCCAGATGCGACTGGCGGTCAGGCTTTGCACACGAATCATAGATTAGGCTATACAGGTTTTTAAGCCTCAATATATACTAGTCAGTTAGCTAGCTAGCCTTCCACCCATATCACATCGTCAATCAACTATAAAAGAGGCCTCAGTTCCGTAGCTACATGGATTCAATCATGTAGAAACGGCGTGTCGTGAGAATCAGGTCTAGGCAAACAGGCTAATACGTGGTGTCTTACTAGCGCCTCTACTTGACATTTGATTAAACCTATTGCAGTATCTTTGATAAGCTGTACGAAGCATGAATGGTAGTAATCGACTTGTTTATGTGCAACGTCTGCGAGATGTGACGTCGATCAAGATGACAACTTTTTCTTCTTCATTTGTCCGCGTACTAAACCGCTACAAATTTCCCAAGGGGCACCCGGCTCCACAGAATGCTATGCGCATAATGTGCTATTGCACGATAAAAACCCGAAAAAAGGGCGTGGCCACGTCACGTATTTTATATGTATATATATAAATTCACCTCCATATCCCTTGCGATATCCGTAGTAATTTCCACGCATTGTTTGGGAGACTACCGTCGATGGTAGAAATCCCCTAGACTATAATGACGCTCACAAAGAACTGCTCTCTGATGTTAACATCCACTCAAAGCACAGCGAAATAACAATTCCTTGATCTCATGTATCATTCAGGCCTGCAACTACAACTGCCGCCCAGTGCCTTACGGTCGTACGGAGAAGCGGGGCCCCCACTAGCCTTATACGGTTTAAAAGTCTGGTAGAGTCAATCTTTTTCCAAAGTCGGAATAGGTCAACTCTTGGCCGGGCGTAAACTCATCTCGACTAGAGATTTCATGACTAGAGATGCCGAGATGCCGAGATGCGAGATGCCTACCCCGGGCAGCATCAAGGGTCGCGGGAGGCTATCATTAGTATCCCAAGTGTATAAGAATACGGGTAATAATTATCTAGTAATGTATTTAAACATTATACCTTCAAGTCTTTATTTACAGGCTAGCTAGCTAACAGAATATAGTGCTTTAAATGGAATTACTTTTGATATTTAACTATTAAATAACCTTAATTTCGTATATAGTTAGGATATTAACAAGTAATTCACTTTACAGTTTAACCCGTATATTAGAGCCCACATAATCACGTGTAAGGCACTATTAGTATAGGGCCTATATAGTCACGTGTAAGGCACTATATTACTATTATTACGCTAGCACTCTTAAGCTAGCTCTTTTCCTTTAATATATAATTAACTTCTTTACTTCTTTTAGCTCTCTTATAATATAATATTACGAACGACACTATATGAGAGACGGGACGGGACCGTACTAGCTAGGACAGGTACGACCTGTAGGTATAAGAAGAAGATAAGGGCAC